ATTAGAGCCGGACAAGAATTGTGGCTGGGAGGCAGTGGGGCGGGTATAATGGAAAGAATTGGGATTGAATACTATTCTTGTTTTCGCTCTAGAATGACCTTCAGAACTTTCACTTGCGTTCGTCGTCAATAAATAAGTACGTGTACTCGTCATAGGAAGCAGAATACTGAATTGCAACATTCAGCTGAAATTGCTTAAATACTCTCCTTCTACGAATTTCAGGAAGAGTAATGACGCTAAGAAGGGGAGGGTCCGAACGTTTACGAAATTTTCTCCTTCATGGATATGAACGTACTTCTTCCTGTGCAATATACAGTGCCCTTGTTTTAGTATCTTTTCTATTACTGATCGACAAACTGGGTTAAGAAAAGATGACTACGACAATCATAATAATCGTTATTATCATCAATAGTATTACCACTGTTATCATTATCGTTATTATACTTATATTATATTATTATATATTATCATTATTGTCACTGATATAATCATCATTATCTTTATTGTCTTATGATTATGATTATTGTTACCATTATTATTACTATCATCATCACTGATATATTAGTACTATCATCATTATTATTGTTGCTGGTATTATTATTATCATTTTTATCACTATCAAAATTATGATTATCATTCTCACTGTCATCAATATTGTTTCCATTACTATTATTATTGTCATTATTAGCATTATTATTATTATTATTATTATTATTATTATTATTATTATCATTATCCTTATCATCATTATCATTATTGTTATCATTATTAATTTCATTATCATCATTGTTATTATTATCATTATTATTTTCGTTATCATCATTGTTATTATTATCATTATTAGTTTCATTATCATCATTGTTATTATTATCATAATTATCATTACCATCATTATTATCAACATTATTATTACCATTATTGTTATCATAATTATCATTATTATTATTATCACTTATTATTGGTTTTATGTTCTTAGCATCATTACTTATTATTATCATGTAACAAAACTAATGACACTAATGATAATAAGAATGATGATGATGATAATGATAATAATAATAATAGTAATAACAATAATAAACATAATTATCATCATCATCAGTATTATTATTGCTACTAATTTCATTATTATTACCTCCGCCAAGGTTATGTTTTTGGTAGTGTTTCTTTGTTTGTTTGTGTACCTGGTTCGTTGGTTAACAAGATCACTCTAAAAGTTATGGAAATGTTAGCAGAGGTGTGTCTTTGCCTTAGATGCCATTAAATTTTGGTGGTGATTCGGATGATGATCCCAATCCAGAAATTATTTTGACGACTGTACAGTTACCCCCGTTGGCTTGGCGAAAGGTGTTACTATTATTATTATCTTTACCTTTAGTACCTCCGGTAAGGAGGTTGTGTTTACGAAATCCACCTATGTAAGTGAGAAAGAGGTGATTTTAATGTAATTCTTTTTGTGAATATTTTCATTGCATGAGTGACCCTATTGCCTTCTCTGAGTCCTTCTAGTTACTATCATCATCGTTCTGCCAAGGAACTTATGTTTTGGTAGCGTTGGTTAGTTAGTCAGCAGGATAAAAAGTTATATATATATATTTTAAATTCTTACCAGAAGTGTGTCTTAGCCATAATTGTCATCTCCCTTTCTTCCAAACCTAAGATATCCTGGTTTGGAAGAATTTCGTCACAGATTGGTGATTGGCAAGCGAGTATGCCGCTGCCAGGCGCAAAAGGTTCGGTGAAATTGTCTTACACCTCAGTCTAGACACGGCGCTGTGGTAGTCACATCCACAACATGTATGGAAACGGACTTCTCTCTCTCTCTCTCACTCATTCTCGCTCACTCTTACTTTCTTTCTCGCTCGCTCTCTCTCTCCCTCACTCTTTCTCGATCGCTCTCTCTCTCTCCATTTTCCTTTCCATAAACATAACTGCACAACTCCCCTCTGTCTCCCTCTCCCTCTCTCTCTTTCATTCATTCTCTCAGAAATAAATATGACTACATAACCCCTATCCGAAACTAGTTAAATGTCAATATGGCATAGGCATATCCATTCATAACCTCATATAGGGTGACCATTCTCATTGGTTTACGCCCCTGCAAATAATTGGTAACAAAACAGACGTTAACTTTCTGCACATCAAGAGGTTATACACGGAAACAGGTCCGAGGACCAAATATCTAGATTAACCTACCACAACATACTAGAAGCATCTCCAATCTGATTACTTTCTAAAGGAAATTGCATGAGCATCTTTTGACTTGTCAATGTGACATTAAATAATTTTATGCAAAGCCAAACCATATACCTCTATTTCTAATAATGTGGCCAATTTATTTGATCGTATTTTATAATTCTCCTGCGAATGAACTTGATATTCTTTAGTTATTTTGTATTACTGTGCACTGTCACTGCTTATAAACAAAGAATCATCGCACATTATGAAATTATTTTGACTTTGACTCACTCTTTCTTTCTTTCTCTCTCTCTCTCTATTC